GAAGGATTCTGAACGCTATAGAGGGCACGACACCTTTTTTTATGAAAACATTGGTTGCGGACGAATTTCTGGCATCTAGTGCAACGAGAGTTAGCCAGCCAGGTTTTTTCTATACTGAAGTATTAACTTACTTCATAACTGCGCTCTAATCCAGTTTTCCGATCCAATTTCCAAAAAAGCGCCTCGTGGGATCGTCTGAACTATGTGTGTACCGCGCTGGTTGCGTTCGAGAAAACGCGCGTGTCCCACGCGGCCAAAAAGTAAAAACGCGCATGTCGTCAACGTGTTAATGGCAGAGATCGTTGACCAGGACTATTGCATGGGGTAGGGTCTGAAAGCAAACTTCTCCGCTTTATATTATTGGGAACGAATGTGCATTGACCTGAAATTACCTCTAACCCTCGAAATTCAGTTGTTAGGGTCTTCCACCCTCTCCGATAGGCCGATTCAGCGCTACTGATGAAATTTCGGAAATAATTCCCTTACCAGTCACGCTCTGTTACTTGAACATACCCAGAGGAGACCTAGGAACTACTGAGTCCCCATATATGAAAACCTCTCGACGATTTTTTGTGTTGAATGCCGAGATAAATGAAAACTGGTGAGTGAAAACTGATATAATTCAGTTGTAGTTGTAATTCAATGTCGATTCACATAGTCTTTTTTTCCGACAAATCCAAAATGAAACAGCAGGATGGGAAGGTTCCAAGCAAATACGATAACTATAAAGACAAATTCTCAATTTAGCGTACCTTTCAACCGGCGTTTTCCCTTGAGCCATCACTTCCACGCGAGTCCATGAAACTTCGTGGAATTGTTCAGAAGCGCGTCGAACAGATTACAGACTGTGCAAATACACAAATCTTAGCTCGAATTGACACAGCTACGACGGCGAGGTTTTCTGTCAGTTGCAGGGGAGCTAGGGCCTTCATCTGATGGTGTAGCGGATATGATGGTATGCAACAAGGAGATTCTTATATATTCATTGGTTACATATTAGGTGGGACAAGACGAAGGGAAGCAGCCAGAAGCTATCAAATTGAAGGTTAGCTAGGCCTTAATCTGATGGGTATAGCGGTGTTCTATGTATGAACATTGAACTGGGTTATATAAATATTTATTAGTAAATAATACAATACAAAAGGGAAAGGTGAGAGGACAGGAGGAGGCCGCGAAGCTGGACCAAGGCTTGAGACAACCAACTCCTAGCGTGAGTTGGAAGGCGTAACCATTCCATTCACTGCCGGCTGTCAGCAGCTTAAATCCTTTCTGCCGATTGAAGGTTATCTAGGCCTCAATCTGATGTGTACTTTCAGAAATTAGTATATATAACAATACATTGGGCTATACACACTTTATATCAGAATGAAGGTTAGCTAGGCCTTATGATGTGGTGTAGCTTGGGAGTTAGTATGTATAACAATACATTGGGCTATACACACATTATTAGCATAAAAAGATTATTACATGAGGGCTAACTGGCATGGGAGCAAGGGGGATAGGGGTTCTGGTCGAGCAACAGATCGTAGTCGACGGCTGGTCGCGGTAAAGGCGCCGCCAGCAGAGCACACTTGCTTGCATGCGTCACCTGCAATGACGCACCAGACGTTTGCTCGTCAGCACTACCAGCACTGTTATCTCATCGACTTCAATTTGGAAGGGTTATTTCGGGAAGACATATTTAAATTTTGTTTACTTACTCATTAAGCTATTGGAGAAAATAAGGCAGCAGTACAGTAAGGATGAAAACAAAAGTACAACTACACAGGTTTATAATTCACAAGGTATCTACAAGATAGTTTATAACATCGCAATCAGCCGGGGCGGTTTGGTTGAAAGGATTCACCTGCGACGTTTCCACCACCGGTGGTTTTCTTCCTAAATCAATCACTAAGCGATCACCGCTTGCTTGAGAGCGCCTTTCTGCCACCGTCTCGCCTGGTTGCGATGTTACAAACTATACAACTGCTGGTTTGGATATAATGATTTGAAGCCACTCGGTGGATACCGCTTCTCTGTGGGATAAATCATGCCTTCGGAAAAAGAATAAAAATGAAGTTGCAAGATGAAAAAACGATAAGACATACGTTAGCTGGATAGGGAAGACATGTAATGACGAGGATAATGTCCAATATTGTGAAAAGAAACTGCGAGAAAGTTCACTGAACCATTCTAGAAGAATTAAGAGTGAGCATCCACGATCGACTTCAGTGAATCTTGGGAACGTGTGAGGTCTTCTTGAACAAATGTTGCAGCAGAGATATTATCACAGTTTCATCTGACTTATATGTTGCTGCTTACAAGTACTTGCTGGTCGCCCTCGTCGAGCTTGAGTTTTTGGCCGCCATTTCAATTTGAAATGCTGGATAGGTGTTCCAGGGGAAAGCTGGAAAGTTCCGGGGAAAGGAAAGGGAAAGAAGTGGAGGCTAGCTATACCCATTGTAATAATAGTATGCCATATCGTACAATTAC